CTTGCCACTCACTACAGCACAAACATTTTCAGCAAGCCCAAGCAAGGATACTGTGCCGCGCCGCTCACTCAATGAGGCTTCTCACAGCTAGATCGGCGAAATGCGCTACTGGCTACTGTGCCGCGCCGAGCTGCGATGAATTGACATCGTCAAGTAATGATTAAACTCTTCGTTAGATCGGCAAGATGTACCAATGGGCCATTTCTTCTAGCGCGATGCACTACCTGGCCGCACCGCGCATATTCTCGCAACCACCATATTCTCGTCCGTAGATCGGTGAGATGCACCACTGGGCCTCGCCGAGCTAGGAAGGATTGACATCGTGAATCAAGGCCATTTCGAACTGCAAAGGATTGTCATGACCAATCAAAATCAAAATCAAAATCTTTTACAGCTCGTATTGCTCCAATAATCTTTTTGGTATTGCTGTGGTTGCGCGATAAAAATTATTTGATGTGTAGCCTGTGACCCATTTAATTAATGCATTGCGCTACAGCAACTAAACCATATTTTTAAAAAGAAAATGATTTCAAATGTATTGTAAAATAAATTACATTCAATTTCAGCAATGGCCAATTGGCTGACTATAAGGTCATGGCCTGAACAACCAATTTTTTAAAATAGTCAAGTGATGCTAAAGCAGAGCACAAATGTGTAATAAGTTAATAGATTAAAAACTGATTCATGTGATGCATTACGCAGAGCACATATAAAATGTATTGTAAATGACTTTCATTTTTGGAATGTTTCGAAAGAAGTTTTAACCAGTTTGTACCAGTTATATCAGTAATAAGGAAAAACACAATGATTATCTGTGGTTTCATCCTTATGTAGCAAAGAAACGTTTTATCATTTATAAATCTTTACTCCACTGGGAAGTATGAATAAATTAAATTTTGTAATGTTGTTTTTATTCATGATTAATATTTGATGAATTATTACCTTTAAATTTGATGGAGAAATAGTTATTTTTCCATGTAGTGTGATGATACTTGGTAGACATTAGTGATGATGTTACTTGCCCTAAGTCCCAAGGCCTTGCAAGACAATATAAACATCCTAGTCGACTTCTGTAACTCTATGGGCCTTGAAGTTAACATAAAAAAAACCAAGATTCTCATATCATTAATCATATTCTGCCCTCCTAAAAGAAAACAATCCTATGAAACATTCATTTTGGGAGGCCAGCCCATTCAACACACCGAAAAATACTGCTATCTTGGCATAATATTCCACAGATATGGATCTTTTACAGCAGCAAATACTGAACTGAGGGCCAAGGCTCTCCGTGCTCTCTATGGCCTCAAAGGCAATATCGTTAAAGATGCCCTCTCTCACCGTTCCCTAAACATTCTATTTGACTCTCTAATAAAACCGATCCTGCTCTATGGCTGCCAAATCTTATGTCCCCACTCAAAAACCATGAGATACCTCTCCAAAACAGATAGCAAAGCCAACTCCCAGCATACTCTCAAGTACATCTCACAAGACCACTATGAAAGATTCCACCTTAAGTTTATCAAGTGGTCCTTGTCTGTCCATTCAAAAGCATCAAATATAGGCTGCTGGGGCGAAAGTGGGCGCCACCCCCTCTTCTTTGAAGCATGCAAACTTGCAATAGATTTCTATAGTCGCCTTGAAAGCACTGAAAATGAACTTCTCTCTGCTGCATTTCACGAGCAGATTATACTGGGCCTTCCTTGGTACACCAACATCTCCAATCTTCTCACCAAATATAACTTCCCCCACTCATCCTCTTCAAAATCCAAGCTCTCTACCCAAATCAGTCACAACATGAGGGAAGAATTTATGGATACCTAGAAATCTGCCAAGGCATCCTCACCTAAATTAGAATTCTACAATCAAATTAAACATGATTTTGAACCAGAAACATACTTAGGAGTGGTTAAGATCCCTGATGCTCGGAAAAGCTTAACAAGGTTTCGTATTAGCTGCCACAATCTTTACATTGAGAGGGGCCATTACGAAACCCCCCTAGTACCAAGAGAACAACGATGGTGCACTTTCTGCTTTTTCAGCAAGGGGCTTAAGCCTATTGAGGACGAAATTCATGTTCTAACTGACTGTTTACTCTACTCCTCAGTTAGAGAAAAATTTAACTTCCACCCCAAAAATATTACTGACCTAGCCAGTTTGCTATCCGATAAAACACTAGACCCTACAAAATTTACTGCCACAGCAAGAGCAATCCATTCAATTCTCTCTGTGAACGAACATTTTACAGCCTACTATAAGAGCCCAGATTTCCACTCAAATACTGGCCAATGCATAATGCTATAGGACCTCAAAATAAGATCGAAATTTACAAATCTGATCTATTCATAGAAAATAGTATTATAAAACATTTCTATTTTATCCCTACACATTTGTAAATAACTAGAATTGTGTAACCTTAAATTATTTCAGAATTATAACTATTGTGAATTCAATAAAATAATTATCACTTTTGTATCCTTGTATCCTTGTATCCTTGTTATGTCATCATTTTTACTTTTACTTTTACTTTTATATGCTTGTCTATTTAGAAAATTATGACCAGTTCTGCTGTCTAATACAACTTGCCATATTTGATCTATCTACCCCTTTCCACACTTTCCTTCACACATCATATCATCCTTTTACTATAACCTTTGGTGTTAGTGGACAATTAGCAAATACTTTCAATTCGAGTTTTCATCTTCCTCAGTGCAGTGTGCATATGTGCATGCTTTGTATTGTATTGCTAAGGCATATGTAATGATCCAAGTTTCAATCACACCGAAACGTTGAGACATTCTTCCTAGAGGAATTTTCTTATTCAATGGAAAAACAATCTTTTCTTTTATTTAACCATAACTTCCACAAAAGGCTAAACATAGATAATATTTTCGTCAACTAGAAATGAAAGTTTGGGAAAGGTTTGTCTATGTTCTCATAGTGAAATCTAGCTATGCGAGTATTCATTTATACTATTCACTAAGACATCTAGGCAGCTGTTTAGCTTGCAGTTTAGTAGGTTCATAACGTAATTAAAATATTTTTAGCAGTTATGTCAGTATTAAGAGAAACATAACAATTATCTTTGGTTTCATCCTTATGCGGCAAAGAAGCGTTTTATAAATCTTTATTCCACTGGGAAGTTTGATTACTTGATTAGGTCTCCTCAATCATTCGAGTGGCCTGCACCAATGAACTCCCGTTTGTGACGTATCATCTCCCTCCAAAGTTTGCGGTCACTAGCCATCTCGCTCGCTCCTTCTAGGTCTATGTCAGTGTTTCCTGTAAACGCTGCAGCATCTTCCAGCAAACATTTCCTCCAGTTCTTTCTTGGACGGCCCCTAGATCTTCTCCCATGGGCAGGGGTCCAGTTAAGCAGGTACTTTGGAAGCCTAGTGTCTGGCATTCTGGTGACATGGCCAAACCAACGCAGGCGGTTTGCTCCTATGTACGTCTCTACTGGATTTATCTTTGCACGCTCCAGCACTTCAGTGTTTCTAACCCGATCGAGCCATCTTATCCTAAGTATTCTCCTCAAGCAACGCTGATGGAACACCTCAAAGCGATGTAGCTGCTTTTTGGTTGTGTTCCAAACCTCACTACCATATAACAATATTGTCAAAACCGCTGCCTTATAAATCCTGATCTTTGTATAAGACTGGATGTTGCGGTTTTTCCATATATTACTCAGTTGATTGAAGGCTCCGGAAGCTTTCTGAATCCTAGCTGACAGCTCACGGTCGATAGTACCGTCGCTGGAAATAATTGTACCTAAGTACGTAAAGTCACTAACTTGCTGCACTGGCGTGTCTTCAACAGTGATGTTCACTGTGGCTTCTTTCGTGTATGGCCGTTGAGAGGTTGCTTTACCAATGACCATAGCCTCAGTCTTTTTACCATTGATTCTAAGACCTCCCTGGGCACCATACATACACAAAAGGTCAGTTGTTTCTTGAAGACCTTCCTCGCTGTTATCCAGTACAGCCATGTCATCTGCATAATCTGTATCTAACACAGTGATATCATCAACAAGCGGACTGATAGATCTTTGAAGAACCGCTTCGTGGGACACCACTTTGTTGCTTTCTGTTCTCTCAGCAGCCACATTGAGGCAGACATTAAAAAGTTTGATTAGGTTTTAAAAATAGGATAATGTTTCGATAAATTTTTAATAAATATTGTATTTGATAAATAATTAATACATGTGATGATGTGATGTGATAAATTTTACTTTACTTTACTTTTAGCAATTTCTCGATCACTTCCAGGCATGTGGATGCCATGGGCTAGGTCACTAGGCTTCAATATGGTAGCGGTGTAACCTTCTTGGTGCTTCTTACATTGTATAAAATAATGCAGAATATTGTAACATTGTAGTGAAAAATATCACCAAGCTTTAAAAATCAGACCTGGTAAACATTGTTCAATGTCAAAGTTGTATTGACTATTTGTCGATTGTCCATCAGTCTCTTTCCTGGTATGAATCCATGGGTCTTTCTGGCTAATATAGTTGCAGTCAATACCAGATCTACACAGCAGGCATGGTGGACTTGACCCAAATTTCTGGGTCATATGCCAGTATGACCCATGGGACTCCTTATTCTGCCAGACTCTTGACTCACTGTCTGAGTCTAACAGGACATGAAGCTGGTACAGAGAGCATAGCTAAAGAATAAAACTCTGCTCATTATTCATATTAGTTAAGAGCTTCATTCACTTCATACAGTAAGCTATATAATATTATACAGTAGGCATCTGAAATCCTGTTATATCACTTATATGTTTCCAGAACACCCTCCAGTACAGTAAGCTGCATCGGTTTGATCAATAATTTCATTCACCATGATTTGTTTTCTTCTTCTTCTTCTTCAAATCATAACTCCCACAATGGAGACCTCAAATCGATCAATTCTTGGAAGACAACTGACAGGATCAAATAAACGAATGTGAAGAGTATGTTATTGCACACCTGAAGGGGACTGTTAATAATTATTCCTTATAATCATATCATTCCAGTGCCATGAAGGTATTCCTCAGTACTCTCCTGATATTTCTTTCTAAAGGAATATCAGCAGAGACTGGTGAGGGGTCATGTTACAACCCCGCTGGAGAAGCTGTGAGATGTATGCCTGACTTTATCAACATTGCCTTCCGAGCCCAGGTCTTTGCATCCAACACTTGCGGAGATCCACCATCACAATACTGTGTTCAGCAAGAAACTGGTGTTCCTAACTTGGATGATGAGAACTGTTACGAGTGTGACGCTGGTAAGCTTTGCTGCTTTATAACAAGTTTCATGATACATTTTAAATAATGCTTATGAAATTGTCTTGTTATCTAATCATGCATTTAAAAATAAATATAGGTCTTTTTATGATAACTTTGTATAACATTTTGTCTTGTTACTGATTAAAACTTGGTAATTTTCAGGTGACCCAGATCTCAGCCATCCAACAACATATTTGACTGACAGAAATGAGGTCGATAATCAGACTTCCTGGCAATCAAACACTTTGTATGATCAGAACATTGGTAACATGACATTGCACTTACCTTTCAACAAAAGTTTTGACATCGAGTACATTAAGTAAGTATAAAACAATACTAAAATATTGATCAAGGGCCCAATGCTATTTTAAGCTGACGAATGCTCCCATATTTAACTGGACACCGTTTTAAAAGGGGGAGCGTTAGTAATTTTAAAATTAAATTACCTGCTCCTAGTCCACAGAATATGCAGTTGTGTAATGTGTATGTCTCAAGTTTTGATTTAAATATAGATTCGTTGTAAATGTAAGTTACAAAGTATCATAAGCTCATCGATTTGTCTGGCTAACTTGATTTATCTTGCAGAATCGAGTTCCAAAGTCCCAGACCAGAGAGCATGGTGATAGAGAAAAGTTCAGATTACGGACGAAACTGGGAGGTTTATCAGTATTTCTCCTCGACATGTTACAAAACTTTCAACAAGAGGACTGATGAGGAGATTTACCCTTGGGATGAAGCTAAAGCTATTTGCACAGATAAATACAGTGAAATATCTCCACTACAGGGGGGAGTAGTCGCCTTCAGTCCTTTGAAAGGTTTTAGCAAATCTACTTATTTGATTGATTTAACATAAATAACCACTCGTTCGTTGTTTAGGGTCGAATGCTCAGCGAATTTAAATAAGCATTGGTATGTAAGTTGTAAAATTATTTTCGACCAAACCAAGCAATTTGCGATTTATCTTTCACAAAATTAAACTTAATTAAAGTTAAATCAACTAATTGAATAATTAAAATTAAACCAATTGATTTAAATTAAGTTTCATTGAAGTTAAATTAACCCTAATGAAAGGAATATTCCCATCCAGATCGTCCAGGTGCTAAAGAAACAGAGCAGTTGTTTAACAACCCAGCACTCCTTGCCTGGATGCGCGCAACAGACATCAGGATCAGGCTGATCAATCTCAACACATTCGGCGATCAGTACTTCTCAAATGCGAAGAACGAAGTAATGAAGACCTATTATTACTCTATTTCTGATCTATCAGTCGGAGGAAGGTATGTCAACTGTTCTGTTGAATATTCGTTAAAAACTGTTAAACAGGAAGATTGGGGAGTTAAATCAGGTCATTAAGGATGGGGCAGGTTGTTGATTTTAGTATATTAAGATTCTAGGTAGATTTATATAAGATGCAGTCAAACTGTGAGCTGAATTTACGTTCAGTTGCTATCCATATTGTATTATATACAAGCAAATTATTTCCGTTCATTTCATTTTCATCCAGATGCACGTGTCACGGTCACGGAGAGTACTGTACGACGAGCGCGTGTGAATGTCTCCACAACACAGCTGGCAAGAACTGTGAGCGTTGTCTCGACATGTTCAACGACCTTCCCTGGCGAGAGGCCACCACGGAGAATCCTTTCGTTTGTCAAGGTTAATAATAATTCATCCTTTGTTCATTTGCTTGTTGACTTTTGTTTCGTGGTATTAAAAACATTTCCATCATAATATTTGATATACTAACCCTAAACCCCAAACTAATTTCATTCTATTATTCAAAATCCAACATTTCAAACAAAATTGATGATAACTTAACACCCCTTCAGAATGCGACTGTAACGGTTTGGCTAGTCGATGTGTGTTTGATCAACAGGTATTTGATGATAGCGAGTCTGTCAGTGGTGGAGTATGTGTGGGCTGTAGGGCTAACACTGCTGGTAAGATTTCTTTATCCACACGATAAATCGTTCTCAATAAATCTTATTATTAGATTCGAATAATTCACCGTCTTCGCGGTCAATTCTATTAATATATTCGCATATTTTATGCAATGTAATTTTGGTTATATAAAAATTAATATACGCCCTAATCAGGGGTCAATCCGGTGTTCGAATTTACACACCATCTTAAATGCTTACGATTTATCTGTTACCTGAGAAACGTCAAATCCAACTGAAATCATAACCCAATAATCCTGACCAGGACAACACTGTGACGAATGTGCCCATGGTTTCTTCCCTAATCCTGAGCTTGCTGTCGGTCATGTTGACAGGTGTCGGGGTGAGTTTAAATTTATTTAATGACTTAATGAATTGATTAATTCATTGATTAGCGAGTTTCATTTCTAAGTTTTATTTCTGGACTGAAAGAACCGAATTGGATCTATATATTTGTATATTTGTAAAGTTCTTAGATTCCTCTACAGGGTCATCGAATAGTTTGACCGCCCTTGTTTTACAGTACACTACATTGTAGATGTTCTGAAGGAGTATCCTAAGATTCTTGATCTTTTGGCACAGGCACCCCTCCTCATTTAACCCTCAATCAAGTTTCCTATCATTCGGCTGAGTCGACCGAGGAGATCGCATAGATCCAATGAATCCTTAGCTACTCCCTAGACTGATATGAGTGACACTGGGATTAGAACCCTGAACCTTCTTTACAGAAGGCGGAAGCTCTAACCACTAGGCCACCCAGCCAAAAGCAAATAAATTGTAATGACTATCAAAATATGACCTTGCCGATAAAAAGTCTTGTTTCCCAACCTTTATAACTGTGACCTAATATTTTCGCTGTTATTATCTTCTCCGCGTAAAGATTATATCAGACCTAAACTAAACACCCCTTAACATTCCCGCTCTCCTTTATACTGCCTATATCGCGTGACGTATTATAACACCGTGTAACACCGTGTAACGTCTTGTAACACCGTGTAACGCACTGTAACGCTCTGTAACGCTCTGTAACGCCTGTATATAACGCTCTGTAACGCCTGTATATAACGCTCTGTAACGCCTGTATGTAACGCTCTGTAACGCCTGTATGTAACGCTCTGTAACGCCTGTATGTAACGCTCTGTAACGCCTGTATGTAACGCTCTGTAACGCCTGTATGTAACGCTCTGTAACGCCTGTGTTTAACGCTCTGTAACGCCTGTATGTAGCGCTCTGTAACGCCTGTATATAACGCCCTCTTTCCTCCACAGCTTGCCAGTGCAACGTATACGGAAGTGTGGGCGATGGAGCGTGTACCCAGACTCTCGATGTTAACAGAGGACTCAGTTTCGGAGACTGTCAGTGTAAACCTAATGTTTTGGGTGTTAACTGTGACACGTGCGCTGACGGTTATCATTCCCTTCAAGAGGGCTGTCTTAGTAAGTGGAGAATGGAGATGTTATTCATTTTACAAGTTAACTTTCTGTATTATATATTTATGGTTTTTTTCTTTTCTTCGGTAAGATCATGCTCTACACTGCTTATTCATCCGATGCTAGTTACAACTTATAATTGGAACCTGCAAAGACACGATTCTGAGCAATAACTGATGAGTAAAGGGGAGACAATTATTGAAGATTGTTGCGCTCAAATTAACTTGAATATACCTGAAGATTCTGAACCCGATTAACATGTCATTTGAAAGATTCTTAAACATACAAAAATATCTTATCAATTATATGTTTCCAGGACCCCCTTCAGTACATTTATCCGACTAAACAACCAATGGTTTGATTTCTCTCATTTCAAATTTTCATGAATGTATTTCTGTAACTCGTTTTTCTTTTTAGGGTGTGACTGTGATCCTGTCGGAACAAAGGGCAACCACAAACTTTGTGATAAAGCTACTGGACAATGTCGGTGCAGAAACAACATTGCTGGACTACAGTTAGTTTCTTATCTTGTTTCTTATCTTGATTTCAATGATCGAGTGTCTTCTTATGTCATTGACTTGCTCAGCTTGAAGATGATTTACTTGATGATGCAATTTGAATCATCTACAAACAAGGAAAGACAACTCATCTCGCAATAACACAGTTTATTACAAACCTCAAACTGGTACAGTGTGTACCAGCTTGTGTGTGCCAGTGAAGCCACCTGTTTATGAAAGTTGTAGCAGTCAGTTCAATTAAGAGTGCTTGCAACGTTCAAACTGTACAACATGGAACCTCAGTAATGTAGACTACTTAATTACTTAATTCTATTGCTTAATTACTACAACAGTTGTAGTAGCATGCATGCTTCTATTTCTGTTAAATTACAAAGCTTTAACTGAAAGCCCCCTATCTAAACCGGGAGTTGGATTTTATCGTTTAAAAATCCAAATTTGATTAAAATGTACTTAATTAATGAATATTATGTGGGGACTATTTTAACATTTTAAAACTTGTTACCGAATTAGAGCCTAAGAAAATAAGAACCTGATACCAAGTTTCTCATATGGAAAGTCGATATGAGCTGTAAGCATTCCTGAATAAAAAGGAGACCTCACAAAATTATGACTGGAAATTTCACAAAGTTACAGTGACACATTTTTGTGTAAATGAAGATTATAATGGATCTGCATGATACGCCGTCTTCTCGATCAATTCTATTATTATATTCGCATATTCAATGCAATGTAAATACAGATTCGCAAAGGTTATTGAAAAACAGTGATACTCTTTTAATGATAAATAGTACGGAATTTACACAAACCTTCAATATTCATAGTCCAAGTTTACTCCTTTTCTTTTACATTCGTCACAATAAGGCGTGGCTGATGGCATTAAGTCATGACCTATCCCAGATATTATTTAACCCGGAATCAGGGTTCAAGCTAATCACTTCCTTAAATCATCGCTGTTATTGCAAGCCTTTATCATAAAAAACGATACTCTGTGTACAGGTAGAAAATGACGTCTCGGATTGGAGACTTAACTCTCCAAGCCTCGACAAATGAATGAGCTCACAACAGATCACGGATCACTCAACCCCTTCACCATCATTGACAATTTCAGAATAACTCTTTACAATTTTTTCTTGATAAACAAGTAAAGTAACCACCCACAACTTTCATAAAAAAGAAAAATTCATAGAAAAAAGATGTCTGAAACCGCCTCCCCCAGGTGTAACGAGTGTCTACCTGGATATTACGGATATCTGACCGGTTGTGAGCCTTGTTCCTGTAACCTTGCGGGATCCTTCTCGAAGGAATGCGACCAAGATAGTGGGCAGTGTCAGTGCAGAGACGGTAAGTTGACTGCTCCTTCAAAGATTTAGCCAGCTTTGAGGAGAGTGCATCAACAGCGCAGTTACAGCTCTTGTATTTTGAGAGAACGTGAAATTTGTCTGTCTTTATTGATTTTAAGATATCTAAACGTATTGCTATTTATTTAAATATGAATTTGAGTAATATTTTGTCAAAAATTGATTTTCTTTCAGATCTCTGGTGGTAAACACTCAACAATTTCTTAAACATATTTCCCCAGGCTACGAAGGAAAGGAATGTGCCAATGTAGAACAGGGCACTTTTATCCCGGACATGGGATCCCTTGTTATCCAGCCAGCCGAGAGCGACAATCTCATCGACGGTGGTGACGGTGATAGTGAAGACAGTACTAGCACATCAACCATGCGTAAGTTTCCGTGTAGTACGAAATGTCCTTATATGGGCATCCTTAAATGGGCATCCATAGTCTATTCTATTTTATCTATTCTGGTTATGTTTTTGTACATGTCGTGAAGATAAAGTTCAATTCTTTGAGCTTCATATGAAATCGCTGATTAGTAATTGCTGAGCTTTTAGATTATCAAAAAAGGATCTTAACGTTATTCTTTAAAATCTTTCTTAAACATCTTTAATATTATTCTTTTATTGATGATAAAATTCAATTCTTTGAGCTTCACATGAAATCGCTGATTAATAATTGCTGAGCTTTAAGATTATCAAAAAAGGATCTTAACGTTATTCTTTAAAATCATTCTTAAACATCTTTAATATTATTCTTTTATTGATTAATTCATCGACTTTGTAATCATAAGTCAGGAAATAATTAGTCTCTGGTCACGATTCTCTTCAGATTCATAAGGGAAATCAAGTAATAGCACATTCAGTTTTTGGTTTAGTTTTTTATTAATAATTTAGCCCCTGATCGCATTGGTAAAACATCAACTCCTTTCCATTATTAATTAATTAATTAAGTCAATTCTACCCGTGAAGTTACTTCTTCGATGGTACTTTTAAGATCGCCAATGGAAGTTATAGTCCCCAAGATCACATTTTTTGCATAAATTCATAGTTACTTCTGCTCGATTCTCATCATAAGTGTCGGTAGATTACACTAATTATTGCAGCTTATGACACCCTGGACCCTGATGTGAATCCTGATGGAACCGCAACAACACCTACACCAGCTGGTCGTACGTAATTTTATCGTTAGGAAAAGAAAAATTTAAAGAAAAAAGGAAAATTGAGTTCAGAAACATACTAATCCATGGATTTTTCTGAAATTCTGAGAGGTGGCGTACACTATACAGCAGCCGATCTGTTGGTTGACAGTTAAAATATTTTCAATTGTTCAGCTTCTCTGGACAATATTGAAGACATGCGGACGTCTGAGGGTCCTAGTTCAGGAAATGATAATCTAGAGGGCCAACCTACTAAGGATCCTAGTGATAATAATGGTGGTAAAAATAAAGGTGATAAAAAGAATAAAGATAAAAAGAGTACGTATTTACGTGAATCTGTCCCTTAGTAAAACTTAGTAAACAATCTTGAGTTTGATCGGATTGTTGTTTCTTCGGCATAAAACTCGAGCTGCCATTATATATATATCTATCGTTATCTTCTCTGCCTATTGTATACTATCGTAATGGGGTTTGACACCCGGTGGCTGTAATCTGAAATCCTTTTATAGTCAATAATCTGTATGAATGTAATGGAAACATGGCGATCTTTTAACTATCTAGTATCTATTTCGTGTATACTATCAGTTCATTGAAGTTGTGGTTATATCGAACAACTACCGATTCTTTTCATTTAATTCATCATCTAACGTTCCATTGAAATGAATGAAGCTTTTTTATGTGCGTAATGGGAGGGAAATTTACAATTCTCCTATTTGTATTGACAGTGTCAATCATTCAAATAATATCATCATCCTTATTTGTTACATTTACATTGTATGTGAATTACATTTCTCTTGATAATTCCAGAATCCTTCGAGATATTAAATTTTCATTTATGAATTATATCCTGCATCTAGAAGGAAAAAAGACGATGGTTTGTGATTTACCGAAACTTAATCTCGGTTTTTAGTTTATCATAGATGTAATATTCTCTTCTAAATGAAATACTAAATTCTGGACTTTAGCCACCTTTTGCTCAAGCTTAAATGCCCTAACACCTAACCACCTATTTCTCAAAATGACATCGTCTCAGCTCCGGACGACATTCAGGACGACCCCAGTAAGTTGTCCAAAAAAGGTGACGAGGTTAACCTCTTCTTTGTACCGCCTCGTGATGACGAGTACATTTTGGTCCTCCAGTACTCTTACCCCATGGGACCCAATGCCAGAATCAGGTACTTAATTTATTAAATAATTAGCAAACATTTAATTGGTAACTCGGAATGTTGAAAAGTGGGTTTCATTATTGTTTTTGACAGACACTCAGGAGTGGCGAGCTTGAATGTGATCGTAAGTAGTGTTATTTTATCATTTAGATTCAATCGTTATCGAGAAACTACCTCCAAATCTTTTAACTGAACAATTTGAGGCTAGTAGATTATCTTAAATATAAGAACGGACAAGAATCACTAAGTTCTCCAAAGTTCTAATTTTACAAGCTTTCTCACACTATTGAGCCGTTAACTCTTCTGTCAGGAGTAGAAGGGAAGTAACGCATGATATATTTGCGTTACAATCACAAGGCCGGCTCAGGTAGTTTGAAAGTATAGAGAAAGTTTATCGTGAAGTGTTCTTTTTGGTGCATGAAGTAAATATATCTCATCCAATCATGCAATTAAGGGACATTCTTACTCAATTGATTTACTTGAAGTTCATTTATTTACTACGGTTTTGTTGAGAAATGGTTTTTTATGAAGCGACATTTTTTTCAAAGCACGCAAATATAAGTCGGATGAAGTTAAAATGGTAATTGATGTTTTTGAGAGACTGATAACAGTTCATTTATAATTAATCCAAGTACAGTATGGGTTACAGTGATTGATTTGCTGATGATGTGCATTCTTTTCTTAAAAAAGAAGAAAAATCAAATTTCAGGTTTAGTTGTTTGAATTTAGAGTCCTGCGCATGCTTGATATGAATCCATACTATGATATGAATCCATACTATGATATTTTGCTTAAACAGGTTTATCATTGGTAACTTATGTGATTTAATCTTACTTTATTAGCCTATTTCAGTATTTTAGTATATTATATAGTACGAAAATCCCATTTATTTAAATTTGGCCCTTAAACAGGAATTCCTAGAACTCCTCTTTCATAGAACTCCTCTTTCTCAATATTGCATTAAAACTAAAACTTTAATCTTGAATTACAACATGGTCGTATTATGTGAATCTACGAAAAGTTCATTTGATAAGAAATGTATACAGTCCACTCTATGGTATGCTGGCTTCCATAGTCAATAATCTGTATGGATATAATGGAAACATGGATATTTCCACACTAAGTCTCGCTTGAATGACTTAAATGTATATCTTTGTTGGGTATATTTTAATGTCGAAGCGTGTAATAAATGTTAGAATTTATTATTATTATTTATAACTGTTTAACCTTGAATTGCAACATTGTCGTGACATGTGAATCTGCGAAAAGTTCATTTGATAAGAAATTTGTACAGTCCGCGGTATATACAGTAGCAGTGTGGTACAGTAGTAGTGTTGTACAATATGACATGTTGTAAAAGATACTGAGCTTTAAACAGTAAACTATTGAACTAGAGCTGGCTCTGTGAAATCTGAATGGACAAGTTAAAGTTGATCAATTAGTCAGATCAACCAGTCAGATAGATAGTCAGAGTTGTTACCTCAGAGCTGCCTTCAATAAGCTTAAGATATGCTAAAATATGCTACTTAGCCTGAGGAATCTATCTAATCTGAGTGCAGTTATTTTAATGTTGTATATTTTTTAATGTTTAAACGAACCTCTAAGTCGAAAAATGATAAATTTTGGGCCACTTACAATTTGACTATATCTAATTGGTTACTATCTATCCAAGGTTTACACTGACAGCACTGGACACACCAGAGGACATTATGCCTATATGCGAGGCTAAACAAGTACAGTTCTGGTCTGATGAGCTCTCAACAACTAATGGTGTTGGAGTTTTCAAGATAAGGAAAGCTTGTATGGACGATAACACGGTCAGTTGAGTGTAGATTTATCATTTATCGTATTGCTTATCTTGTGGCTAAAATATGATGCTTTTTGTGTTTTTTGTTCATCATATATTCACTTGATGATTCCGATTGTCGGCTGAAATCCTGCATTCTCAAGTTAAAGTTATACTAGTAAGCATTAGACTGTCTTACACCTGCGTAATCTTCTCAGAGGTACCACCTGAAAGTAGAGTTGTTGGACGATCTGCCTGGAGAGATCACTATTGGAGGAGTCATTCTTCTCCCCCAACCAACGTGAGTTTGGTTTTGTTTGCAGTTTACCAATAATTGTGTGCTTGATCAGTGGTTTCTAAGTAGGGAACCTTTCTATATCATAAGATGGAAAAGATCTTATTTAATGAATAGATAATGAAACTGCTGTAATTAATGGATTTTATTAAAGAGTTGGATTATTGAAAATACAATAATTTGCCCAGACCGGACACGCTGGACAGGATAAACGATCTGTTCCCGGACACTGAGGAAGGTCAGGCCGCCAGAGACTACTGTATGGAAATAATTGTGAGTATTATTTTGTTTCAGAATATAAAGGTTATGAGGCTTCAAAGCTTATGTGTGGCTAAATATTAAGTTTTCAAGAAATATATGACATTAAGTATACAAATTTAACCTAAAAAATACACTTTTACATTTTTCACGTGGGCTTCCCCGCACAGCTCAGCTGAGTAAATTGATATCTTAATAACAATATATTTTCCCCAGTTCATTTACCCGAGACCAGTTTTATTGGAACAATTCCCTGATTGTGTACCAGTGTACGATATAGTTGTACCCACAATAACTGACGGTACTGTCAGGTGTAACTGCGATAGAGACGGTAAGTCACATAGTTTTGTTGTAATTGTCATCTTTGCTGTACCATTCGAGATAGGAAATATCTTTCATTTCAATTCAACTTCTTTTACGTTATGCTTTTTCACCTCGTTCTATAACATAAACGCCTGGTTTAAAACTACATGCTAGGTGGTAAAGCTAATATACTATAGTATTATCTCTTAAAATATCACTTATACATCAATCCTTTTTGTGTCGGCAGAAGATTCTAGCTCTAAAAAATGTGTTATTCAAATTGACAGTCAGCTATATTTCACATTTCATAGGAGATCGTTCACATATAACTCTCCACATTCTAATATTAGTAACATTGTTAACATTCCTTCAGGAGCGTACGAGCCGGACAGATGTGAATTGGAGGGGGGACAGTGCAGTTGTAAACCTAATGTACAGGGACTCAAGTGTGATGAGTGCAAACCATGTGAGTAAACCTAATCAGCATCATCACTCTTCATTTACTCCTTATTCAGTCTTACTTCAGTCTAAATTAAGCTCTGTGCAAGATTCTCTGAAAATCGCTATAAAAGTAAAAACCGATGAGCAGCTGAAAGATCGGTTGAAATGTGGTCAAAATAAATAAGCCGACTGTTCACCAGTCACCTCCATAATAAGACTATCATACTTTAGTCAATAGATGTTCATTGTACGTCGTTTTAGTGAAATGAACTATTAATACGAGATTTGTATTAATCATCTTGTCTTCTCTTAGTCATCATCACATTGTCTTCTTTCAGCTTTCTTCAACCTGGGACCAAATGGATGTGAAGCGTGTGGGTGTTCACTTATTGGATCTGAGAACCAGAACTGCGATCAGGAGTCTGGAGAGTGCAAGTGCAAACCTGGAGTCATGGGTAAGTTTCACTTTCACTTGCAAACCTGGAGTCATGGGTAAGTTTCACTTTCACTTTCACTTGCAAACCTGGAGTCATGGGTAAGTTTCACTTTCACTTTCACTTGCAAACCTGGAGTCATGGGTAAGTTTCACTTTCACTTTCACTTGCAAACCTGGAGTCATGGGTAAGTTTCACTTTCACTTTCACTTGCAAATCTGGAGTCATGGGTACTGTACTCGTAAGTTTTCAAGAAGGTTTTAAAAATCTTTTTTTTCTTGTGAGCGAAAAAATTAATTTTTTTCGCTCACAAGAAAGTGAGCGAAAAAAATTGACCATTTCTTTGACCATTTCTTTAGATCTCTCTTTTACTAATTTGTAACATTCCATCAGGTGATCAATGTGACCAATGTGAGCCGACCTACTACGGGTACGGAATGGACGGCTGTGCCACGTGCGGCTGTAGCTCCACAGGAAGTACTTCCATGCAGTGTGATGCTTACGGACAGTGTCCATGTAAACCCGGCATCGGGGGAATACAGTGCGACAGGTATGTGATGTTTGGTAGTGTGTGTGTGTGTGTGTGTAATTGATAGTTTAGTGTGAAATTGATGTGGCAGTCAAATTATAAATTGTAATTTTGGAGTACCAAAGCTTTCTTAATGGAGCTGTAAATGAAATAGGTCGAGATTTTGTTGTTCTGTGATTTGTGTATATAAATGAAACATTTTTTAACGATCCCTGAAAATTGGAGAAAGAACGAATTGCTCTGACTTGTAGATAGATTCGTTCACTGAAGGAATGGGGCTAGGCTAATGGATAATTTGTAAAATGTAGACTTTCCTTCAGACAGGAATGCAGCTGGAATGTTGGTGTTTCCTTTTTAGTGTGATGATTCAATGACGAAATACAATAGAATCAGCTTGATCTTTCGTTCTCAGTCCTTGTTGGCTGTTATTTAAAGATGGGAAAATATAAAATCTTGAAATATAATCGAATGTTGGACAAAGCTTAGCTAAATATAGCGAATTCTGAAGAACTTAATGAATCATACAAAGAATAATATGTAGGTGAATCTTTTCCAGAACTCCTCGATGCCGCAATTACCGAAACATAACATTGGCTATTTAATCAGTTTTTATGCTGTCTCTAAAATGTTGCAAAATATGCAAAAATGTTTGAATAACTGTTATTGAAATACAGATCATTGCCTCATAGGTTTCTTAAAACAGTCTTGAAAGTTGAAATAGCATCTTAAAGTAGTCTTAAAACAATCGTAAAATAGTCTTAAAACAATTTTAAAACAGTCTTAAAACAATCATTTAACACTCCGCAGATGTGACGACGGACATTACGACTTCTCGGTGACTGGTTGCAAGCAGTGTGACTGCAGTAGTATTGGAGGTAGTAACCTGTGTGACCCTGATACCGGGGACTGTAGGTGTAAGGAGAATGTGGAGGGGGACAAGTGCATGACTTGCAAGGACAATGCCTTCTCTCTTCAGGTGGGCAAAGTTGTATTATTGATTAATTGATTAATTAATTAATTAATGGTTGATACATTAATTAGAGGATTTAATTAAAACCACAATTTGATTTGAAAAAAAAATCTTGCAAAATACAATAAAATTTATCGCTACTATTTCGTGATTTAGTATTATTTTTTTCTGTGATTTATCATAATCTTCACCCTAATTTCTCTTTTCCTTCAGCAATCGAACCCGGAGGGATGTCAGGCGTGTTTCTGTTTCGGGCACACTGAAGAGTGTGTTGCTGACACCACCTTCACTCCCAAGAGGGTTATCAGTGATTTCGAGAGGAAGGATGAGGGATGGATGTACAAGGTTTGTTCTGATAACTCATTGCAGCAGAGCGTGCTCTTTCTTATCATTTTGATAAAACTTGGTGCGGATATTTCAATATCAACCTGTTTAATTATAAATAAGTGGTCATTAATGAAAGAAACTCTAAGCTAAGATAAATATCCTAAGATAAACTCTAGTCAGTTGTACAATCCTCTCTCCTTATCAGGTGGCCGGAGATAAGAACCTACTCCCTGTGGAGCACTCTCCAGTTCAGGAACACATCAGGGTTACTAACGAGGGAGACAAGCCCCAGACTTTCTGTTTGTTTGCTCCCAAGAAGTACATTGGAAACCAGCTTAGCAGTTTCCTAACTAAACTCAAATTCATGTACAACATCAAAGGTAAATGCGTGCTTTTTTTTGTACCTGGAATATCATATATATTATGTATATATTGAGAAAGTGAAACTCCAGTTGAGGATGGAGGGGGTTTAGGATTTAGAACCACTCTAAATCAACATTATACATAATATAACTTCTTAGTCAAATTTATACTTTCACACAAGTGTTTGGATAAATATTGTAAACTAAAAACTAAACCAAAAACTTCGCCACGACGGCTCTGTTTGTATATTGTGATGTAGTAGAACCGGGTTACCCTTTCAACAATAATCATCTCACCAAACTAAAATAATTTTAATTATAATTCATGAAGATCGAAGTTGCTCCGTGAAATTTGAAAAGAAACCCATCAATTCTTTAACGCTTTGCCCCAAGTACGGTCAGTCCTGAAAGTGGAGAAGACTCGAATTGCAGAGTGCACGCACATATCACATACCTAATAATTGAGTTTTGTCGTCCCCGCCCGTCTACAAGCTTGCACATTCTTGTTGCTGTCAGACCCGGTGTAACTCTAACTAGATGACGATGTTTAGCTGATACACCCGTTTTCTTGAATCACCTTATCGGTATATTCGTACACACAATTTTTTGTACAAATCGAAAATTCCGATTCAATTAGGCGTCACTAAATTGATTTTCGCGTGTACCCAATGCACGGGTATGTCGATTGCAAGGTCTACATCTTAAATATGTATGAGGTATTTCTATTTCGAGCTCTTATCTAATTTTTGTAGGATCTTAACGGGCCTAAGTGGGATAAGTTCCACAAATTGGATTATATACCTGTATGTGTAGGTAAACATTTCAAGACAATCCGAGAAACGTCGAATTTTGAGAAAAAACAGGCTACTGATCTAGAACAAATTTAATAAAAAGTGCCTTTTTTGCAATAAACAGGGATATCAAATGAGTAATTCCGCCGTAATGAATCGTGAACAAGTAATACAGTTGAACATAAGATCATACCTATGACAGAATCTTCAATCTGCCCCTGATATCCGGAAATGTTTGCTTTCAGAAAATCACAAACTCCGGTTGTGACGACATTTTCATAAAAACATCAGGCTACACCGCGTGCTGACACTTAAACAAAATTCCCTTCATAATTGTCCGGAAGTTGATTGGAAATGAAATATTTCAGGATCACAGTCGAGTATAACACAGATAGTGATAAGAGGAGAGCCCTACACTCTGACACTCATTCCTCGTGCTAACCCTGTAAGTTATTTAAATTGTTACTCAGAATTTAGAATTTTAAACAAAGAATTTTTGTGCAATAAAAATATCGGAAATAATATCTTGAAGTCCGATTGAAACACTATCTAGATAATATCCTAATACGTTTAACTTGAACCCCCACTTACCAGGGCGACAAGTACAACATTCTGATGCACCCCTCTGAATCATGGTTGGTATCCGACACCGGGAACGATGACACCAAGTCCGACCAATATACTTCCAGCATGTTCCAGTCTGTAATAGGAGATATCACTTCTATGGAGATCTGTGCTACTGTGTACCAGGGAGAAAGTATTCGATTGGAGGAGTTCAGTATTGGTGGTGTGGAGAAGAAGAGCGGCAGGAAGGACAAGACTGCGTACAATATTGAGAGTTGTGATTGTCCTCTGGGATACGATGGCAGGTGGGTCAATGACTGAGCAGTGAGCACATTCAAACGGAAGAACAAACTTACGGACGTTGTATTGACGTTGTACTGACAGACATTTTCATCTTTTACCTATCAAAATTCCACTACTTTCTCCAATCTATTAGGGGTTCAGCCCTATATTCTAACCTTACCCTCTTCAGTTCGTGTGAGGAATGTGCAGCAGGATACAGAAGAACTTCCCCCGAGATGGGTCAAATGAGTCCTTGTGAGAGGTGCGATTGTAACAGTTACAGTAACCAGTGTGACCCAATCAGTGGTCAGTGTTTGGATTGTCAACACAACACTGCTGGAGACTCTTGCGAGGTTGGTTCTCACAAGGCTTTCTTGTGCTTTTACTTGTGTTTTTGCTTGTGTTTTAACTTGTGTTTTTTCCCCGACTTTTTCAGATTCTCACAGCCTTCTTCACTATTCTTTCCTTTCCTAAAATCCTCCCATTTTAAGTAAACAGCGGCTAAACCCCAAACCCCCGAGCTAAACACGTCTCCCTCAGGTCTGTGAGGACGGTTATTACGGTAACCCTGGTTACGGTAACCCCAGATCATGTAAGAAGTGTCAGTGCCCCGAGGCAGACAGGTCCTTCTCCAACACCTGCGAGATTCAGGACGGCAGCTTTGTTTGTACTAACTGTACCCTTGGTCATGCTGGTATGTTAAGAATGTATTGGGATGTTACTGGGGTTATGTTGTTAAGTTGCAGTTGCAGTAAATGCAGATTGTTGCTTAATACAGTTTCGATTGGAGAATTGATTAAAATTTTAACTGAACACTATGGTGACCTCTCATTGTAATTAAGCTTATTTGGCTATTTATAGTTACTTCTAGTAACTTCTAGTAACTTCTAGTAACTTCTAGTAACTTCTAGTAACTTCTAGTAACTTCTCGTAACTTCTAGTAACTTCTAGTAACTTTTAGTAACTCCTAGTAACTCCTAGTAACTTCTAGTACCTATAGTAACTGTAACGAATAACCTGACAGGTGACAGATGTGAGGTGTGTGCTGACGGTTTCTTCGGAGAACCAAGTTACGATAACCCTAACCAAGTCTGTACTGAGTGTACTTGTAACGACAACATAGGTATGTGCCATAGGTTTTCAATATTTTGATACGAAAACCAATTTGTAATGACATTAAAATAACATTTAAATTTGATCTGTTCTGTATAACTATATATAATGAAAGGAGCAAAATTTAAGAAAATTAATCAGTGAATATTAACTTTGGGTGGAGTTTGGAACATCAGCAATCACAGTTTTATGGCTATGAACGAGGACAGTATGGAAATATGAATGATCAAGAACCGATAGGCATATTCATCATATTCTAATTTTATGATTTCTGGGAAATTTGATATGCGGGAATTATTAGATGGTTAATGTCTCAAATAAATTTTATTCTGGCACTTTCGTCGTCCACTGATAAATTTTAAAAGCCGTCATGATCAAAGAACACCAGGTCATTTGGAGCGCTACACCTTGAAATAGCATTGAAAAGTATTGAAATAATTTCCCCTTATCTTGTAAGTCATGAATATTACAAGTGCGCACTCATACTCGCTGAACTCAATTCAACGGGTCTCGATCAATCGAATTTCTGGGGTTCATCATACCCACAGTTTACCCATAACTGGTTTTACGGCAGACAAAGTGCTTATTTTGGGGATTTTAGTTATGGTGAAATGTTTAACCGATTAAATTATATTATCCCTTTTTTCTATACGATGTAAAGTTGGATTATCAAAACTTTAGGATTTCTTAGGATTGTTAAGATAATCAAAATGTAAATGTAATCTAAATGTTCATCCCCTTGAGTGACGTTCCCCTTTATCTGTCGTTAGTTGTTTTAAGATATCTAAGATAAGGACATTTGTTCTTTTTTACTCACTTCACACAGGGGGCCACCAAATTAGAGTTCAACAGCCCAAACTCTAACATATCTATTTGTGTGTCTTCAATTAGCCGCAACCTACTCACAAACTGGTTACCTCTAACCTTGAAATATTTGCAATATTTAGAATCCAGCAACTCACCCCAATCCCAAGAGTAAGACACATCAAATCCTTGACTTGCTGCTTTCCAATTCTTAAAGTCCGGTGCTCTGACACAGAGTACGATACTATCGTATTCATGCAAAGAAAAGTAGACAGGGTATTCTCCTGTGGGTTCTCCTTTCTCAAAGAATGTGTACATTAGAGCGTGCTTTCCCACGTTTTTTAAACCGATCGGGTACGCATTTTGTCCAACAACTCCAAACATTGCGGCTTGAGAGTGCTCCTCATCACTCACAAACCCATTTGAAGCCCAGATCTTCACATCGTGGAATGTCAACAATTTAGTCCCTCGAATCTTTACATATTCCCAAACCACACCGATTCTGTAGTCTATACTGTGGTGACAAGTCGCCGCATATTCTTCGTTTTGGAATGATCGTTCTGATGGGTCCTCAGATGTGATAACTTTGATGTTCGTCACGTGATGGCCACCAGCTTTATCTCTCACTCTAGTAGTTTCTCCTGATTAAGAAATTTAGTCTTAATCAAACTTAATAAAAGTGAGCAATGGTGGGGAGTGAGAGATAAAGCCACCAGCTTTATCTCTCACTCTAGTAGTTTCTCCTGATTAAGAAATTTAGTCTTAATCAAACTTAATAAAAGTGAGCAATGGTGGGGAGTTGGTGCAAGATTCTTTGAAGCTTGACTGCGATTCTGGGATTCTATTTGTCAATCCAAGCTGATAGCACCACCTCGCCATTACCCATATTTGTCAGAATCGAAATATCAAGATATTCGTCTTTACATGTAATTTTAGTAACTGTGTGGTAGGGATTGAATCGTTATCTGGATTATCTGGGTTATTTAGGATGTACTGACCTTGAGAAAAGAGGCACATTAGTATTGCAATTATTGACACCAGTCTGGTAATTCTAAGATATCCAAAACCACCGAGAAACAACATTTGTGCCATGTTAAGCGGCTTCTACAAGATATATTATCTTAACAAAGAAAAGTTCCTATTGTGCTCATAAGTATATCATCATTCTTCTTATTTTAAGTACAGAGAATACATCAATGACAACTTCAAATACAATGATAAGAAATGAAATGCATTATAAAAGTGAAATGAAAATAAATGAAATTTTAAATGCTCTGTGCAATGCTGTCTCCAGATAGTCATACTGGCTGTTTCCCCATAATTTACAGCTGTTGCCTGTTAAATACTTGAAGAACGCGCTTTTAATTTGGAACCAAATCTTTCGTGATTTTGTGCTATAATTGGTATTACTATAAGATTGAAAAGTAGAAACCGTGAATTATTTCCCCTCTCCCTAGAGTCAAAATGTTTGAAGTTATGATCTTTAAAATTCGGCCCAGCTGGCATAAATCTGCCTGAAGCCTTCAAAATCTTGGATTGTTGCACTATAATTGAGATTTAATTTAAAGTCATCTCAATTGAAAAAAAATTGAGATATATTTAAAATGCCAAAACACCTGTGTCGATATTTTGATTCGAATGAAAGCAAAGAAAGTGAACTGCAACCTGCAGTGGTCGAAATAAAGATGCTAAATTTCACAAGACCTCCCTACTACAATTTTAATTTACAGCCAAATAATGCGACAATCTGATATTCATTCAAACAAAATGCTACACTTAGGATCAATCATCAAGTACCAACTATATAACAGACCACTTTATAGAGTTTGAGCTGTCCATTTCATGTCAATTTGTTACTGCAGTTAATGTACCGCTCCTCTTCTTAGCCCCTATTATTAACTTGTCAAGTCTGGATTCTAATTGGTCAGATCTGGAGTTTAATTGGTTCACTGAGTTTGGTAACTTTTAAATGAAGGCTTTAGTTCTAATTTTAGGTTTAGAGCTGTAGTGAAGCTATGGTGAAGGTTGTAAGTTAATGAGCATGACGATAGTATCTTCTGTACATCTGGTCCATACTAAGTTTGTAAACAATGAACTTGTCAGTACTTTATATTTGGGCAATACAATATGATGACTGAAATCGGAAAATTTTAAAGCCTCGTGCATTATGAGACGAACAATATTCTCTATTAATACGACGTCGAATCCAAGATAAGAATTGATAAACATCAGTTGCGGTTGATAACTCTAATCAAAATGTAAGATAAAAACTTACTATTCTCTCATTTCACAGATCCTGACGCAGAGAATAACTGTAACACAATTACCGGACAGTGCCTGAAGTGTATCGGAAACACTGCCGGAAGATACTGCGAGGAATGTGCGAGAGGTTACTTCGGAGACGCTATCGATGCTAAGAACTGTGCTAGTAAGTTTATTTATTAAATAATATTTCACGGCTGGTTTATTTAAAGGTTTAGTAGGTACTCGGGGAATGTTTGTTGTGAATGGTGACAGTTACACGAAGATTGACATTTGACACGCTAGTCCCCCAATTAGTCCAGCAGTCCCTCAATTAGTGCTGGGTGTAACAGCAATTAGTGTACGTGCGACAAGTTGATCACTGATTTGAGGATTGAAGTAACAATTGTACAAACTGACTGCGCGCGAAAAATTGTTCAATTGCAATTATACAATATATGTAGTCCTAACTCTCTTCGCGTCCTAGGATGGCGTTTCTCTTGCCTGATATATGCATTATAAGTATAATAGATAGTAGAGTTAGAGTGCACGCCAAAATTGCACTTAGCTATTATTTACTTCTAACACTTGCTCCTACAGTGTGAGTTTACTCTATGGGCCACCAAAGTCACAGAGTAAAATATATATAATATGTAGTATGTACTCTTGAATTGAATATGTTCAGCTACAGCTATGTTATTTTATGTCAGTACTTATTTCTGTTACTTATTGCGGACAAATCCTTTTTTTATTGTGGGTTTGCATATCTATCTTCTGCTAGCATATTATAACCATTCATCTGATAATTAAGTGTAGAGTTACTGGATACATAAAATTGAATTAAAATTCCATTGTGTGTATTGAATTACTTATCTGTCAAAATACGCTATCCCCTGCGGGTTTGAATAAAGTTATATTACATTTAAAACACACGTTCCTGAAACCCGCATATTTCACATATTTAACATATTTCCATATTTTCTCCAATACTCGTTCTCTCACCGTACAATGTATGTCTGCTCTACAACAGCGCATGAGCACATGTTTATTAGCATATTTGACCATTTTACACCCTACCACTGTCCCGCCAAATTAAACAAAAAGTTACTGATATAATTAACAGCCAGGAAAGAGGGTAATTGGATTTTGCAGCGCTTATGTTCTGCAGCATACTTTGGCAGTCTGCAAATTCCTCCTCGGTTTGTCGTGTATAAGATCGTTGCTTCCTATGTTACACGTACACGCATTTCTTTACCTAATACGGCGTAATTAGATTTTGGAGGCTTTGATCAGACTTATAAGACCACCACAACCCTATCTCCGATTAGATTCACGGAACGCGCGGTAGCCAAATTATAATTTGTAGCTGAAAGGGTGTAGAGGTTCACGAAGTTAAAAGCGCGCGCAGCATGTGTAATCTCGCGCGCAGTTAGATAGTCAGTCTGCGGTTATTGTTCAATGGCTATAATTCAGACAGTCGTTTTGTATTAATTATCGTACTGCCAGTGCATGTCAATTCAATTGAATTGCAAAGGATGTGAGTTATCGAGATATCTACTCCTCTAGGGGGAAATTAATCCCACTATTTTCTTTCAGAGTGTGATTGCGACCCAGATGGTAGTAACAACATGTACCTCTGTGACATCGAGAACGGACAGTGTGACTGCAAACCAAATGTTGTTGGTCATCGTTGTGACAGGTTTGTAGGGTTATTGATTTGCTTTCTGGACTCTTCTGATACATATCGGTACCAAAGTGGGTATCACCGAGTTGCTCTTTAGAACTTACAAGCTTTCAACAACTATCAATATTAGTAATTTGTTTG